GTTAGCTGTTATCACAAGGCTGCCGGGATCATTTTCTTCGGTCGCAGCGAAAAGCTGTAACGTCCTTGTCTGATATCCACCAACATTAAAATATTAGCCTTCCAATTGGACACGGTGTGTCAAAGGCAGCTTGTCACAGTGTTACAGCTGAGTCCTGACTTTAAACGTGAGAAGAGAGCTCAATAAATGTAATGAATGTGTGACACTTGGACATCTGAAGTGCCGTGTTCAGTTCCATACCACTTTTACCTCTTGTACATAAAAAGCCTCTTTTAAAGATGATATCTATGAGCGTTTTAGAGCCAATTTGTTCTCCCTGCGGCAAAAGGCAACATGCTCTAATTACCTCCCCCCACCTTCTCCACTGAGGCTGGAGGTGGAGGTGGTGGGGAGGTGTTTAAGTTTCCAGTCTGTCCAATGCGTATGGGAGCTGTGTGCCCACTGAATTTATGTTTCACAAACCTGACCTTTGACACTTGTGCAGCTTTATCACACCCAATAGCCCAAATACAGTGTGTCCCTATATGCCGAGGCTCTGTGGAGGAAGTGTCTGTGATTACCACAATCTGTACTACTTTGTGTACATCACTGCCAGCCCTCAGCCCCGTCTCCACTTCTCTTCCGCCTGACAGACTCTCAAGTCACTTAGGCCGCCATTGCTTCCTTCAGACAACACCATCAGGTTGCCTAAACCCAGTTAGCTTTGCATCTTATCTAATCTCACATTCGCCCTCTCCTCAGATTGTCTGAAACAGTTTAGTCCCTTACTGTCCCTTGTAGCACTTCAGCTTCTGCAGCAGAGATTGCCTCTCAGTTTGTTTGTTTTTTTCACGTTTTGTGGTAATTCTGTTGTTTTTGCATTTTGGAAATGATTTTTCTTTCATTTAATGTTTCGACTGAGAAATCCGTGAGTAATCCCACTCAGGGCATCGTGTCACTGAGTGGGTCACTCAGGGCATGAGGCTTGGTGTTACTTCCCAGTTTTGACACTTTCAAACTTTAAAGTGTCGACTTCAAAACGATTAAAAAATACACCTACCCACAAGGACACAAATGAAAGAATCCTCTACTCTTAAAAAAAGAGGAGAAAAAAGAGTGCGCCCTGGATTATGAGCTCAAAGGGAAGCAAAGACAGTGCCAAAGCGAAAAAGACCATGTGCTAATTCAGCAAACACACCGGGCTTGTTCCTCGCAGGCCGCAGAATTTGTCAAGAAATCATCCCTCGCTCTCTCTGCCGGAATGCCTGCCTGACCCCCGGCAAATGAAAATAATCCAAAGTAATTAGAAGTGAGCCGGTCTGGTCCTGAGAGCCCCCGGGCGGCCGGGTAAACATGGCGGAGGGTCCGGGAGGGGCCAGTAGAGAGAGATGGAGGTGGGGGTGTGGAGGAGGGAGGGTGCTGACCTTGTCCACATAAAGCAGTGATTTATGAAGTGCAGGGCACAGCAGCAGGGCTTCTGTCTTCTCCCGCAGAACCAAATTACTGAGGTGGAGATTAACACGCCGCTCACAACGGGCCTACTTCCAGGCCCAAGGAAAAAATTTTATTTACATTTTCTCCTTTCATTTCCTTCGCCGTGTTTTAATGCTAATTGGCACCGTGCACATCCTCTATTAATAAAGACTCTTGAAACTGCGCCACTCATTCTCCTGCGCGCACCTATTGCCTGATGAATGCGCTAATTAAAAGACAAAGCCGCAGAGTGTTGTGCCGCCTGGAGCCTGACGTCTCTTTGAGCCCCGGGTGACTTTTTTTAACCACTTGATTGAATCGCCCCACATTTAGGCAGAAATAAAAAGCGAGGGGAAAAGGTGGTTGTGTGTGTGTGTGTGTGGGGGGGTATATAAAGTCACGATGGAGACTTAATGCAGCTTTTCGCCGTGTCAATAGGAGGTCTCGTCATGAACAGTGGAACTATTTCATGTGGATTTGGCCGCGATATTTTCTTTCTCTCCCCTCTCTCTCGCTCTCTCCTGAAGGATGTGCTGGAATGCACCACACAGGCCTTCCCAGTGTTTCCATGTGGCCCCTCGGCTGCAGCGGGTATAGGCTCTCCAAGTTCGCTTGCTGCTGGAGTCAGTTTGCAACCCACACGGGAATCCCCCCCTCTTCTCCAGCATGTCCCATCTGACTTTGCAGAGCACCGAAACTTAAATCACTTTTCTTTTTTTTTTCTAAATAGAAGAAAATGCTTAAAAGATATTTAATGGATTTTTTTTTAAGAAGAAGAAGGAAGTGTGTTAGCTCATGAAGCCGAATCTCAGATAATATATGAAGCTGATTGATCTTATAAACAAATAAAAAGTGTCTACATGCATGTGTGAATTTGTCTTTGCGTGACCGAACTCCTAAAAACAAACAAGAAAGCCGCAAGCAAAAAAAGGGGCCTGTTTGAGCAATTTGAGACTCCTTTTCAAGAATTTCACAGCACTTTAAACATTATCCGGATGCTGTACGTTTTAATCCTCCCCAATCAAATAAGTATGAAACGCTGTGTTGCATGATATAGTCGGAACTAACATACCCTGAAGCCTGCGTGTGTTTGGTTTGTAATTTGTTGATAAACAGCTTTTCCACCTCGCCATCCCACCGTTTGTCACAATCATTATGACAAAGGCGTGGAAATAATTCTGATAAAACGGGTCTATTAAATCCGGGCACATCAGAACGGCGTTTACGGCAAACAAAATATAAATTAGAGCAACGACTCGCAAATCATTCTCGCGGTTTATTAAAGGAACAAGTGTTTTAAATTCACCCCCATCGGTCTGTTCAGCGCGGACTCGAGAGCTTTTTATGGCAGCTCGTTCAGGTGATTATATATTCAAGTCGTACACATCTTTCATGGCCCACCTAGCATCTACACGCCTTGTTGTGTAGATGTTTTGCGCACAAGATTGAAAGTCAACAAAAAAAAGTAGACTTATAGCAAAGTAGGCTCGTTGCTGGGCACTTTTTTATTATTATTTGTAATGGATTTTTTTTATTGTGTTATTATTTTGTCGCGTGACAGCTGGAGTCTGTTTTCCCTTTGCTAAAATATCCACACAAACTTAGATCGCTCGTGTGTGTAGAGATGACGCAGTGCAGCTGCTCAGCGCTGTCATAAATAGACATTCAAATCACCAAATTATACGTCACAAATGTGCAGGGTTTTATTCTGAATTTGTTTGTGTCGTGCGGGATTTTATTATGAAATGACAAAAGTCCGTGCTGGGTTTAGCTCACTTGACAGCAGCAACAAATCGAATCACCTAATTAGTTGCGGGGTTTTTTTTAACTCTCAAGTCTCCACTCACACTTCTTTAGTGAGGTTCAGTTCAGCTGAGCACGCCATCTCCTGACTGGAAAAAGAATTGTAGCTTTTCCTTCACGTGCCCGTGCATGGAGATGGGGAGTGTTGGTAGGTGGGTCTGTGTGTGTGAGAGGGGGTTGGTGCGGGGGTCATACCACCGTTACCCCAATTTACCCCCGGTGATACCACAAACCCCGAGAGTTTATCCTCTTTTTCTCACATTTCCTCCTTTTCACAAAACCCCTCGCACTTCTCTCTCTATCAGGATCCTCGATCAGGACTCGGAGAGGCTGTGAAGCAATCACTTTCCCAGATTACTTGTATTTAATACACAATGCATCATAAAACAAATCCCTCATCCTGACAGGAAGAAAATAGAACAGCTCATTCGACTTGAGCTTTCCCAATTTATGGCTAAATTAAAAAGGGTTCCAACAATGGACAAGTCGAGGAGAGGCAGGAAATCAATGACCGGGCGGACCGGGGTCTCTCCTCGGTTCTCAAGGCGCGCGAGACGATGGGAATCGGTGGCCGGGTCCTGCCTTATTTACACATGATTTTTCCTGTCCTTCCTGCACATTTGCTCCGCGATTTCGCAAAACAATGGGTATTATCTGGGATGGAAGGTCAATGTCACAGTGTAAGGAGTTATCCATCATCATCTGCTCTCATCAGCCAAAGCCCCGCTCTCTCTGGCTTTATAAGCTGCCTAATAAACTCCGCTCACTGACAACAAGGACGTTTCTGTGTTATTCTCTACCCTTGTCAGATTGTTCACGGTATCAGTTTCAGCTTTAAACTGAGAGATTAAAACACACACACACTCAAGAAATACAATGTCCAACATTTGGTCTCATCTTGATGGCAAAGCAGATGCACGAAGGCGCACGCGGAGCTAAAAGGTTCTTTTTTTTCTTTTCTTTTTTAACGCAGATTCAGAAATAACTAACCCAAGCTGATGTTGAAAAGTAAATGTGTTGTGTTGTATGTAGAGGTGAGCTTTGGAAAGCAGGTGAGTAGGCCAGGGTCGTAAGATGTGGCGCATGGGCATCAAATGGCCCGTATAGAGATTCCCAGATCTCAGTGTGTGAGAACAATTAGGCTGTTTATTATCATTACTACTATTATTACTAATATTATTATTATTATCACTCGTCCCCCCTGGCATACAGCTCAAGTCTGAATGATAAGATAGCTCAAATAAGAAACGTGTAACACACTGCAGCCCCTTTAAATTCAATTCTTAATAACGACAAAAAAATGTCGAGAGGTTTAAGAAAAGGTGGATAATAATTCACGACTTTGATGCGTATGTTCCTTCATTAAATTGTGCAGACTATGTGTGTGTGTGTGTGTGTGTGTGTGTGTGTGTGTGTGTGTGTGTGTGTGTGTGTGTGTGTGTGTAGTTCATCCCTTTATAAGCCCCCATCCCGACCTCTCCCTGACCCCGCTCACCCTTTCCAACCCCGGGCCTCTGTCACTTTAAAATTTACTGCGGAGAGTAGTCTCTGCTTTCCGGGGACATACATGTGTAAAGACAGTCTCCCTGCTTGGAGTCCCCTCTCCTTTTTTCTTTTTTTATAATAAGGATGGATCATCCTTTATTTTTTCTTTTCTCTCTTTTTTTTTTTTTTTTTTTTTTTTTTTTTTTGAATGAGAAACATCACACACAAGTATCCGCGAGGCGCAAAGTAGGGAGGCGATGCCTGAAATCTCCCCTCCACCCCCCACCCCGAATATCTCCGCTATCACACAGACGACACATCCCGACTGGCTGAAGAGGAGGAGGAGGAGGTGGTGGAGGGGGGGAGGAAGAGAAAAATGAAAAGTTGAATGGCTACTAGAAGACACCTGGTTGCGTCAGGACAGGAGGGGTGACAAGAGAGGAGCGGACGAGCCTTTCGAAGCGCACCGCTGCGAGAGAAAAAAAAGTTAGGATCAAGTTGATGCACCGGAGGGGATTTCAGTTCCGACGTCTGCGGGACAGCGAGGGGAGAAGCGCGGAGTCGGCGCTGTCTGTGAGACAGTGTAGTGAGAAGGGATTTACTTTTACCGAGCGAGCCGTGTGTGAGAGACAGCACACAGACACACACACAGACAGCGAGACAAGTCGACTCGTCCCGCGGATTGGAGACCTGAAGAGACCGAAAAACAACCGCACACCGATCTTTTTTTTTCTTTTAATGTGTCAAAAAATCTGGAGAAGTCGTCATTAGCAAAAAAAATATTTTTCTACTTTTATTTTTAATTCCCAGGGCGATGTTTTTGTATTTTTATTTTTTTTTACGGTGTCACTTTTTACTCAGTTAACCACCGCTGTTATTATCCCAAGAGGCTCAAAGTGTGGCACGCCAGTTTAAAAAAAAACGAGTCACCACGGTAAGAACACGCAGACTTTTATAAATAAAAACTGCTTCACTGAGGTTTTATTTTTATTTTTTTACTTTCTTTTTTCTTACACGCAGAGAAAGAAAAAGCACATCTAGGAGTTTATTCGCTCATCCATCTTGCTGAACTAAGTTTGACGTTTAAATTATTAGTTAAAAGACTGCGGTGTAGTTTACAGAATACACGACTAGGTGCTCTCTTAGCGCGGACAAAGGGCTTTATGTAACCTAAATATTTATTCAGCAGCAGGTTACACAAAGACATAAAGACAGATTTGTGACCCTGAGAGAGAGATTCCGTTTTGCATCCCAACAATCGGCTTGTCTTCATAATTCTTATCACTCGCGGTTTCCTGCAGTTGATTTGTTCCCCAGTAAAGTTTACAGCCGCGCCATGAAAAATGTCAGAGCGCTCGCGATTCGTTCGAGTGGAAATGCTGCGCGAATATTTTGTAAACGATAAAAGTCCACCGATGATATGATTTGCATGATAATTCACTTCTATTGTGTTTGTTGCTCTTCTGTTGATTTCGCCAATGAGAGGAACAAAGCTGTCCCCCTGGTTTATTATTGTCACAGCCATTGTGTGTGTAGTTTATTATCTTTTACTGTTCTTGTTGCAGTTAAAATGAGTAACGTTTGGTTCATTTATTCGTTGCAACTACATTTAAAGAAACGAATTTAAACGTCAGCTAGAATCAGGTTAAATGCAAATAGATTTTTTTTAGGGATGTATTTCATTTTGTGGCAGATTTTTACATTTCTTTTTTTTTTCTTCCTTTCTGTAACAAAATAATAAAGGAGCGATCGGTCCAAAGTGAAACTGAAAGAAACCTTTGCTAATATGAAATGAATGCATATAATAATTCATGTTTTTATTTGTTACTGAACCTACTATTTGGCTTTTTTGTCTTCCTTATGTACTGACTTATTGACGTCACTTAGCATCTTAAGAATATTTATGAATATGATTTCCATTTTTATTACTTAAATGGTAATGACATCATTCTTCAACAGGCCTCTGAAGCTTTAAAAAGGTCTCAGATATATAATGAAATTACTTTGGTACTGAGTGCTTTTTTCTCTTTCTTTTCATTTATATACAATGTTCACTGTCTTATATTCAAAACAATACAAATAATAATAATATTAAAAGTGTGTGTGTGTGTGTGTGTGTGTGTGTGTGTGTGTGTGTGTGTGTGTGTGTCAGAGAGAGAGAGAGAGAGAGAGAGAGAGACCTGCTCCTAACATTTGAGTTCTTTTCTCTGTGGGAGGTATGTGGTTAGTCAGTGTTTGGACACAGTAACCTGGACTGATACTGATCAAAGTCTGATCTCTTGCTCTCTCTCTGTCTTTCATTCCTTGCAGATCTTGGATGGGTCAGGCCATGTAAAATTCTGCGTGGATGCCAGCAAACCAGATATCGGGAGCTGGCTGAAGCACATCCAGTTTGCCCCTGCAGCCAAGCAGCACAACCTGACAGCGTGCCAGATAGATGATCAGGTACGAGGAGACGGGTCACTCGCAGCCCACCTGGCAAAACAACCTCAACAAAGTGCGAGATAAATAGGATGTGAAGGAAAGAGAGAGGGAGAAAACATCTGCATGACTCAATTTTGAACTCCCAAATGCTGATGTGTCTTTTAAATGTCTGGCAGGATGAATCAAGCATTTAAAATGCACTCAGCCTTTTTCTAAAGCCAGAAGGCTTCCATGTATTTTCCGACGGCTGTCCCGTCTGCGTGCTGCTGTGTTAAAAGGTGTTATTGTGATCTAAGTCAGATAGCCCCGAGAGCCGCTGGCCCACCCTGCCTTTAGTTTACTCACACACGCACAGGTCTTATGTGACGTTGCACCATAGAGACTCCTCGCTATCTGCGTGTGTTTTCCTTCTGTAATTGTGCACTGGCTTCTGCCGTGCGAGGACCACAGGGCAAGATCAGAGGCGGCCCGCCAAGATGATAGTGCCACACACTTCCTAGTCACGCTTGCGATATAAACTCCTAGATATGCCAGGAATGTCACCATCCTTTTGCTGCTCACCTGGCTGTGCAGAGGTGCGTGCTGTATACATGGGGGCCTGTTCAGCTCAGCAAAGCCATGGCGGGGGCTCCTCCCACACAGAAACACACACACACATACACACATTGGGACAGGAACACAAGAGGCTAAACTTTATTTGACGCGTGTGCGCAGCATACCATCGCATGACCCGAATAAAAACCATAATCTAGCTGGCGTGTTTGTCATCACTTCTCACTGGTGGTCCATTTAAATTTTCTGCTTAACGTCGCCCATTGAAATTTCTGCAGAATCTCCATTATAGTGCTTGGTAACATGCTCTAAATACAGCACTCGCAATTAGTGGTAATTAGATGCAGATATTTCTCACAGTGGAAAAGATGCACCGAGTTTGCCTTTTCCCTGAAAAAAAAAGAAAAAAAAGGTGATCGACATCTTCCAAGAAAGATCTGGCCTGTTCTTCTGTCAGACATGTATGTTTTTGTTCTGTTCTCTTCCTCACAAGGACGAGAGAAAGGTGTATCACTTCTCTTAGAGGGATAGAAGGAGAAGGCTTCCAGAAGTACTTAGCCACTCTTTTTTAAAAAGACACAGAGAGACAAACAAGCAGAGGAGAGCTTTCCTGAGCTGCCCTCTGCACGAGGTGTGACTCGCTGTCAACACTGTGGTTCTGCTTGGGTGGCTGTGTAAGGCACCGACAGGTCACGGACATGGCTATGATGAGGTGATTGTTAAGTATTACACACTGTCACAACACAGCACAATGTGCTGTCTTTAAGCCTTCCGGCCAACATCGGTGTTTTTGAAAACACAGTGTAGCGTCTCACAATGCCTGTCTGTATCTGTAAAATGAATAGACTGAATAGGGTGGTCAAAGCTGCTGTCAGTTTTTGGTACTGACTGTGTGCGAGTGTGTGTGTCTGTGTGTGTGCTGGTGCTCATGAGGGCTTTTTTTGTGTCCCTGTGTGCACAGACGTTTATGTTCATTGACTTGCTGTGAGTGTGTCAAGTGTTTTATTGTGTCTCTGAAGTGTGTGCCCACACCTGTAAGTGCCTGTGTTTCCTACATGTATGCATGTACGATTGTGTGTGTTTTGTGTGTGTGTACCCACACGCACACTCTGCAAGGACTGTGAATTGTTCACTGCGGTTCAGATGACTCCCCGCGCTCCTCATTCTGAGCTGGAAACGCTAAAACACACAGTACCTGATTCCAACAGGTTTTTACTGCCACAGAGAAGTGCTGACTCCAAACGCAGCCTGAAACCACACATTACACAGTCGCCACATAACGTGTAGCATCACCAGATTTCCACAGAAGAGCCTGACTAAGCTGCCCCGGGCTCATACATTTCTTGTTCTGTAAAGTCGTCCTTCAAAACCAAGTTTAAACAAATCGTCCCTTGCCATGCGCTCAACAGAGATGATTTGTTGTACGGCCTGATTTTAAGGCAGTGTCATACAGCGACAGCAATTTCCAGGCGTGTTGGTCGTTATTTGGGCCTGGTTCTTTTCAAGCCTCAATTTAGCCCTGCCAGCATGAGTAAAACTGGCCTCCGTCTTCTTATTTCTGACCCAGTTCTGGTTATCATAAAACTTTATGAGCAATCTCAGGAGAACGTGGGAGCGAGAGAGGAATGAATGAGGGAGCAGAGAGAGAGAACAACGTCTGTTTATTTCTTACTAGAGGAACTGTTCGCAAGTCCACTTCCCCTTTCTCTTCTCTTTTTCTCTCTCAATTCATTTGTTACTCATCTGCCATCCTCCATCAGGATAAACGTCTTTATTTTTACCCCTTTGCATGGAAAACTTGAGCGGACTGTGCAGGAAGTAATAGAGGACCTGCAAAGGAATACATTGAATATTTTTAAGTTTAAAGATATTGCGCACTGTGTGTTCAGCTGTTGAAATTTAAAAAGCTAAAGTTGTTCTTTAATAATAATATTAGCTGGACTTTGAGCATTCTAAAAGAAATGAACAAGGACAGCCTTTATTTGGGTGACCTTTCTGCTTTACTACTTTATATATTTGACACGTCAGAGTGGAAAGCAACAGGAAAGAGCGGAGAGGGAAGGCGATGGCAGGTGTCACAGTCTGTGAGTCACACTGAAATCTGTAATTAATCCAGCATGCTTCAGCTCACAGGTTTGAATTTATTTAGAAATAAGAAGAGCTGTATTAAGAGAGCCAAGTATCATACATGCAGGTTCTCATTTTATTTCTAAATGAATGTGAAACTCTTTAAAGTTGGCCGGTTATATAGTTTTTTGATGTTTGAAAATTCCTACCCCAGTGCGCAAGACATCCTCGCTCGCACGCTAACGCACACGCAGAGACGATGCAGCCTTAGCGCCGCTTCCACAGATCCATCCACGACCAGCACGTTTTGTTGTTAATATAATCAGGGGAATTAGCGCTTACAAACCCTCCGCTGTGCTCCTGACTCTACTGAGTCAATTGAAGGGAAAATTGATTAAAAGTGTAATTAACATCATCCAACGAGGCCCGAAGAGCCTTTTATAAGACAGTGCAGAGGGATATGAGCGTTAATCTCATTCGCTCTATTGATTCTCACTCAGTATTGAGTGGGATGGAGTGGCTTTGGGGCATATTAGCAAAACACTGACGGCCATTCACTATGTAAATACACTGGAGGTGATTGCAGCTCAGTGAGATAAAGGTATTGGACCACATTCAGCTAAAAAGAAGAGATCAGATCGTGCAATTCCACACGATTTAATGCTTCATATGACAACTTTAGAAGATTTACAGCCTTTTTTTAATTCACAGATGTAACTTTTTTTTACCTGACATTGATGCTATGCCACTAAAGAGGTACCAAAACAATTTTTGCTTTTGCTTTGCTTCCTTTGCATGTAAGGAAGCCAGCATGTTCATCCAAATTGCTGGAAGCAGCTGCACATTGTGTGCTCATACTCTTTATTGCTATCTAAGTCACGAAATGGTTTCATTTAGAAGCCAAGCGATGGTAACTGCCAAACATACTGTACATGTAGCATGACCCCGCTGGAGAGGCCACAACACATGTGGACATGTTGCTGTTATGCAACTGCTGACTAAGCACAATGTTGTGGTCGATCTTCTATATTGTAATTATCCTTTGCACTTTTTTTTCCCTTCTTTGCTTAAAAATAAACAGCGTTGGGGAAATGTTTGAACCGAATGCTCGTATCCGATGTTGCTTCTTTAATTTAGTGTGGCCCCGTGTTAAAGTAGCCTGAGACTTTAAGGGATTTTTTTGTTTTTGTACTAAAACAAACAGCCGGACTGAGAGTTTACTGGGACGGGACAGCGTAGGTTAACATACCTGTTGAATGCGGTCTGTGTGCAAGAGGGCGAGAGGAATCCGCCAACAGGGTGTGGACACAGAAAATGTGACTGTGTTTACTCTGCTAATGACTAATGGTGTCAAGGTAATAACTTATCCAATTATAGCCTCTGATCCTCGTGTGGTTTTAACCTTTGACAGGGAGAGTGTATGACAGAGAGAGGAAGATAAGCAGTGACCTAATAAACTAACGCACACAGACAAAAAAGGCAACATATCCTTTAAAAAAAAAACATGCGGAGCTCTTTGTATTGATATAAAATAAAATGTTTAAGAGAAGATCGGGGTGTTTTTGGATAAAACATGAACTAGAATCTCAACACTTTTTATGGTTTTCGGTGTGAACTCAAACACCCTGACTATCTTATCTCTAGCATTATCTTAAGCCACTGTTTGACTGCTGGAAAAAGAAATGTTTGTGTGTGTGCATGTGTGTGGCCATGACATGCTAAGGATGACCCCAAGAGTCAAAGACGGTGTGTCCTGTTTGGGACACACAGTGACTCGCTGCCTCTTTGTTTACGTGTGTGTGTTTTCACTGTTTATCTGTGGCGACCCTCAGGGAAGGGGTGGAGCCGCTGGGGAGAAATCCCCCTCCTGTTCGTAATCACCCTCTTGAGTGTGCTTACGCTGCTCCAAGAATACACGTTCTTGTGTAAAGAGTACAGAGTGGGTCTAATCGAGAGAGGTCAGAGGTCAGATTCAGAGCCAGGAGTGCTTCTTGCTGACAGAGACTTCGGTATGGCTGTTGTCTGCTGTTTGCTGCCGTTCTTTGTGGACTTTTTTTTTTTGTATTTTTTATGAACAAATGTGAAGAAATTCAACAGTGTCCGTTAATTTTTATGTTCTAAGGCTATCGTCCAGGGATGTCAAACTAATTTAACATCGTCAGCCTTAAGTTAGCCAGACCAGCGAAACACCCCTCTCTGTCAGTGTAAATACATTTAGCTGAATGCATAATCCCTGACATGTCTCAATATAAGATAAAGAAGTGGGATTCTAAAGAACATCTCAGTTTTCGACATGATAAAGGTATAAAAAACATTCCATAGCAGATATAGTCGATACTGGGAAAACCAGGAACTTCTCTCTTGTCTTTCAATTATTTATCTATAACCTATTTATTTGCTGTAGTATGAATGGCAACCGAGGAGGTCTTTATCAATAGAATCAGAGCTGTAAATCAATTGAAAATACAATTAAAAGTTCAAATTCTGTGCCCTCCTTCACATTTTCCAAAGCTTTCCAATTGGAGTGATTCTGGCTCTTGGGCCTTATGTTTGGCACTTTAAACGGCGCTCTGGTGACTTTCCAAAGAGCCTTCCTGCTCAGTCTCAGTATCAGTCTCTCAGAGCGGAACCCCTACAGTCCCTCGAGTCTGTTTGCGCCGATGTCTGATTGTTTCTGAATCACAATATTTTTGTGCCCTTTGAGGCCCTTTGAGAGCCCCTTTGTCTGTGCGCCCATGTGCGATCTACAAAAAAACGATCCAGATTCATGCACATGCATCTCTGGTACAGAGGGCAGAGTAGGGTATGACAGAGATTATAGTTTTGGGACCCTCACAGTTCACTTCTCTTTATTCATACTAGATCTGCTTCCTTCAACATAGCAGGAAAAACATTCCCCAACTTTTAACTTTAACTACTGGCCTTCCTTGTTAAATGAAGGCAAATCAAAAAAAATTCTCAAATACTAAAAAATAAATAAATCATAAAAATGGATTCCATTTGGTGGTTATTATGTAATATGTCTCCCCTGGTCTGGATAACTGTAATGACTCCGGTTCAGCCCTGTAATGGGAGTCAGACTTCCAGGCCCTGTTGCCCTCCCACTGATTTTCTTGGCAGGTCATATTCATTTAATGCCTGAATTTAAGTCATACTTTAATGCTACCACAGAACTACATGAGTTACGATGCATCAATCACTCCTAGGTTATTGACACACAAGAGCTCTGCCTTGGTCCGGCCGACTTACTTAAGCTCCCTGTACTCCAGCGACTCAGTAGTGTCACATTTAGTATTATATCAGTTGCCAGAAGTAAGAACAATGACACAAATAATTATAGTCTGAAGCATACCTCATGATCTTTATTGTGACCGAGATGTTTATCTTAACTCTCTCAGGAGCCACGGCGGCTCTTGTGTTCCCCCAGTCAGGAATTCCCTTCATAAGCGGCGTATCGTGACCTGCGCCTTCCCAGAAGCAACTCTCTCCACCCCCCTGTCGCATTTCTAATAAATTCCTCTATCATCATTGTCATGTTGACACAGCAAAGGAAGGTAATATGTTAAACGTCCAAAGCGTGCCAAATATAACTCCATGTGTGATTGTTTCACAAAGAAAGCCTATTGTGTGTCCAGGGGAAGCACCACAGTCCCAGGGACTCTCATCTGATTCTTAAATATGACTTGCCCCACTCAAAATGCACGGTCCCATATTTAGCCGTAGCAAAACTATTTATGTACAAATGCTGTACACGTAAGCCAGTATAGGTGCATTAAATAACACAAACTGATCACACAGCTGGAAGTTTCTCCTATTGGGAAAATGGTCAATCAACACAATGCTGATTTTATAATAGTTCGTTATGCTGGCTGTTTGTTTAATTAGCTTTCTCTCCACATAGTCGTTCCCACTTCCTGCCCACTACAAGCATTACTGTGTAGAGTATTTACAGACGAGTATATTTATTCAGCAGTTGTTTGTGTTTTCTTTTTGTATTCATGAAGATGGATGCCTTACAGGATGAGTAATTGCAACTTAATGACCGTGTGTATTTTCATGTATACGTCTCTTCTGCGTGTGCGGTGGTGCTATGACAATCATGTGTGTATGCTCATGCCTGTACAGTACAGCTACCTCACGTGACCTCTGCAACGCTTTCCTCGTGCTGTTATCGGCAACCTAGAAGAGACAAGTTAACACAAAGTGACTGACGCAACATTTTTACTATAAAACAAAGGACTGAAGCAAATTCTTTGATACGTATCTGCGGGGCTCTTTTGATTCAAGGGTTGATTTGAAAACTTCTGCTTAAGTCATAAAAATATTTTGTGTCTTACAGATATTCTACAAAGTCACCAGAGAGATTTTTCCTGGCCAGGAGCTGCTACTTTTCATGAAGGCTGAAGAGTATTCATGTGATACGATGGCTCCTGATATTCATGGTCGGCACCTCACGCATGCACAGACACAAATATTTTGGTTTTTTTCTCTCTCTGCTGTAAACATATCTCACAAATGTTTTTTTTTCTATGTTAATTCCCCCCCTCCCGCCCCGACACCTTGCACTACGCAGAGGAGAGGCAGTACCGCTGTGAGGATTGTGACCAGCACTTTGAGTCCCGAAACCAGCTGCTGGACCACCAGAAGAAGCCGTGTGGGATGCCCCCCTCCTCCTTCCTGAACCCAGGTTTGAATTTTCATTATTATTACTTTTTTTCTACCACCATAAAAATAGAGTTGTACAGAGTGTCGAGAAACATGTGTTGCTGAACTGGGACCAAGACACTAATGATCTAAGTGCTTTGTCTCTCATCGGAGCAACTGAAAATGAGATCATAGAGTAGTGCTCTGTGGAAAAGGTGAATCTGATCTACGCTTTAGCCATGAGGACGACTTTAAAACCTTCCACTTTCGAGTGAATGAAGCTTTTTTTGAGCTGCTTGTATAACTTCTTATGTAATCTAGGAGGCGACAATGACCTGAAAGCCCAAGAACCTCAAGACTTGCGACCCCTCCACATGTCCCAAGGACTACACGAATGTAAAGAGTGTGACCAGGTCTTCCCTGATGTTCAGAGGTAACTGGATGGACACATTTCATCCCATAATTTATTCGAGCAAGTGCTGACAAACAAACATGTGATTCAAGACAAATCCTTCCAATCTCATTGTCTTTTTGTCTTTTTTCTTTTCTGCAGCCTGGAGGCCCACAGCTTGTCCCACAGTGAGGAGAGAGAATATAAGTGTGACCAGTGTCCCAAGGCCTTCAACTGGAAATCGAACCTGATCCGGCATCAGATGTCGCACGACAGTGGCAAGCACTACGAATGTGAAAACTGCTCAAAGGTAAAGTGATGACTGTTGAAGGGAATATTTCATGATTTGGGATGCAGATATTTGTGCACATGTGTCCCCTCTGCACATTTTTTTAGAAGCAGATAGTAACCCTCCCGTGTGTCTGTGTGGTTCCTCCCCCCAGCAGGTGTTCACAGACCCCAGTAACCTCCAAAGGCACATTCGCTCGCAGCACGTCGGGGCGCGTGCTCATGCCTGTTCTGAGTGTGGCAAGACGTTTGCAACGTCTTCAGGCCTCAAACAGCATAAGCACATCCACAGCAGTGTCAAGCCCTTCATGTGTAAGTCACTAAGACCCTACCTATGTAAGTCTACTCAGTACATTATAAGAATAACAGTAATGACATGCTTTGGCTTGCCTTCTAATGTGTTTTTTGGGGGGGGGGAAAATCACTTCATCCTTCTGCAGGTCTTTTTCTCCAGAACTAATCTTGTAATGTTCTACAGGGTTTACACGTGATAATATACTGCAGCGAAGCAAAGACGTTTCTTTAGAAAGGCCCATGCAGTCTGTTTTCTGCACCAAGCCTCGCACACTGCTGACATAATAATAACAGCATTTTAACGAGCATGTAATTCAGTTTGAATCGTTGAATCTTTGTCTAACCTTGATTTTGCTTGTAACTGTGATTTAATCTAATGTTTTGTTGACATACATCTTGCAGGCTTTTTTGTCTCGTGTCTTGGTTTCTTTATTTCTTGAGCACATACTTTCTTTTTTCGTATTTTTTGGGGTCCTCGCTAACTCCTGCAGGATCCAAAAACCTTTGACCTTTCACACTTTCACCACCTCACACAAGAGATCTGATCTCCATATCCCCTGAAGCATTATGACCTCCACCCTCTGCCCCTTTCCTCTTTCCCCTGTTTTATTTTTTATTGTTTTTTTGTTTTTTTAAGTGGGCTCATACAAATCTGTGCACATTAAATACATACTATCTTTTTCTTTTGTCATGAAAACACACAGACAAACACATATAAATAAATATCCATATACTTAAGCAGGAGTGACGGCATCTCCAGTGAAGACTTCAGATTTCCCTATCTCGTCTTTTGCCTCCAGAACACGCACCATTCCTCACAAATAGCAACCACATGTACAGCCCCTCTTCCCTGCGCTTCCTCTGAATTGGAGTCCATTTGCTATAATCAGCAGAAACTATGCAGGTTTAAAAACAACTAATAGCTGTCTAAAAAAAGAGAGAGAGACAAAGCAGCCTCCAACATGATGGCTGCCTGGGAGAAATCATATGCGAAGTGCCTTTTTGTGTGAGTGCTCTTGTAGGGTCTGTATGCATGCGCTTGTGTGTGCATACTAGTATTCGTGATTTAGTGCACGCAGTGTGTCAAGGATGCGTGCATACAAGCTTTTGTATGAACGGGAAGCACCCAGAGGTGCTGGGTTGTTAATTCCCACACTCAAGTGAACATTATTTATCTGCTGCACTTTTCACAGGAGCATGTTTATAATATTTTGTTTTTCAGTTTATTAAGCGCTGAAGAATACGCACATGTGGTGAATCCTGCCCCACAGTGTGAGTGTGATGCGTATGTTCTCAGGATGTAAATGTCACAAGAACTAAACTGAGTCAAAGGGCTTTTTTCTTCCAGTCTGCTCAGGCTATGTGGGCGTACTTGTATTTAAAAAAATATAGTCACAAGGAGAGATCATTAATAGCTCTTGTTCCTTCTTTTTTTGGCTAAAATTTAAAATTTCAAGCAAATTTAAAATACAAATTCTTTAGTGTTCTTTTAAACAGTTTAAAATGGCCTAACACACCCATGGTGATGATTAGGTAACGCTTAGAGAAACTGAGAAACTGCTGTTTCATGTCACAGTGCTAGACGTCAGCTTCATTGGTTAAATTGACTGAAAGGTCTGGGCTCAGGGAATTTTTTTTCTTCTCCTTCTCCTTCCTCTGCTGCTGCTTCTTCTTCTTCTTCTTCATTAGCCTGGCTGTGTCCAAAAAAGCTTAGCCACAAATACCCTTATTTTAATTTATTTTTCTGGTTCCTGAAAATTCACCTTTTTTTTTTCTTTTTTTAAAATATAGGATTACATTCACTCCTGGCTTGAACTTTCCCATTTGGAGTTCTTCTGGGATGTTTATTCAAATGTGCTTCCAAAATGCTTTTTTTTCCTGTTCTCCCTCTCCATCTCCTTGAATTGCCTCTTGTGCACCTTGAGGCTGGAAAGCATCCAAAGTATGCAGAAGTGAAACCACAGTGTGAGCCTAACCACTTCCTTATCCTCGTTTAGAAGATCTAATAACAATATGAGCTAAATCAATCATCCAGAAATCCTTCTTACTGCTTTCCTAAAAGTGTAGGGTGAACACAAGCTGCAATCCACAAAATCCATAGTGTGGGAGGGGTGTGACAAAGAGGGACATCTTCTGCATGACAGAAGTTCAGAGACACAAAACTGAAAAGCACAACCAAAATAGCATATGATGGGTTACTATTCCCACTATTAAATCATCCATTTACAATAGAAATAGCTGACAGATTAATACTGACCAACAGATACCATCAGATGGTGGATTTTTTGTTGGGTGTTGTCATTGTACGTCTCCGGAGACAGACTGACTGACAGGCAGGCATAGAGAGTGTGGCTGTTGACTGTGGGAAGGTCAGTAAGCGCAGGATGACAGAGCCAACTATGGGGACAAGGTGAGGGGGCTGAGGGGGTGACTAGAGAGGCCCAGAGAGAGTGGGGGTGGGGGGGTGGGGGGGAAGCAGCAGAGGACGTGAGACCTGTCCCTGGGAACCGAACTGCAGGATAGGATTCATTCAACTCCACTTCCTTCTCAAACTTAAAATAGAGCCATTGTACTGAATGAGGCTGAGAATGTGTGTGCGTTTGTGTGTGTGTGTAGCTTTATGCCTGTGTGTGTCTGTGTGTGTGATTACAATTTCGTTGCGGTGTGTGTGGATATTTTGTGAATGTGACTGCATGTACACATGTGTGTCTCTGTGTGATTGTTTATGGACTCCCTGGGAGCGTCCCTGGAAGGACAATGGGGCTGGAGATGCCTGGGAATTTGGTTTGATGTGCAGCTGATGAGTGGCAGCGAGTGACTCACACCATCAACCAAATAGATTCTCTGACAATTCCAGGATCTGGACACACCTCTTCTTTTCTGTTCTGCTGGAACATTGTCAGAGTATTGATGGGAACACAAGTGTATCACTCATGCTGCATTTCCTCTGCCTTTGCTTCAGCCGGCCTGAAGCATAGAAATGTCATATTAAATTATGTAATTTTGGTGTGTATGTGCATGAGGAGTTGGGAGGGGTGGAGGGGTGGGGGTTCAGTTCATGTCAGAGGCTGATGCAATCTATGCTTGTCTCTGTTTCCCTACAGGTGAAGTCTGCCACAAGTCCTACACCCAGTTCTCTAACCTTTGCCGCCACAAACGTATGCACGCTGACTGCCGCACACAGATCAAATGTAAGGACTGTGGGCAAATGTTCAGCACCACCTCTTCCCTCAACAAGCACCGGCGCTTCTGTGAAGGGAAGAACCACTTCACAGCAGGAGGGCTGTTTGCCCAGGGTATGCCACTCCCTGGGGCCCCCGGCTTGGACAAATCAGCTCTTGCAATGGGTCACAGCAGTGCAGGACTTGCTGATTATTTTGGGGCTAGCCGACATCACAGCGGACTTACGTTCCCTGCTGCCCCAGCATTTCCTTTCAGCTTCCCTGGCCTGTTCCCCTCTGGACTTTATCACCGGCCGCCACTCATTCCTGCCACAACTTCTCCTGTCAGACAGCCATCCCACGCACCTGTTGCTGGACCTGGAGTAGAGCTGAGCAAGAGTCCTTTGCTGCCTCCAAGCCCTGGTGCTCAGGAGTCTCAAGAACTTCTCAAAGCTCTCCGCAAAGACGGCGGTTCACCTGGAAGTCAAATGCCAGTGTCAGACAGCCAGGGCTCATCCTATACCAAGCAAAAGAACAAGCAGAGTGACCAGTCTGAAAGCAGCGACCTGGATGATGTCAGCACACCCAGTGGAAGTGATCTAGAGAGCACGTCAGGCTCCGAGCTCGAAAGCGACATGGACAGTGAGAGGGAGAGGGGGGCTGCTAGAGAAAACGGAAAAGGTCCAAAGAGGAAGGCCAGTGAAGGAGGCCCTCAAAGCCCCGGCCTGATGGGCAGCAGCGCTGCTAAAGACTTTCCAGGCCCTTCCCTCATCCCGTCCCCGCTGGACGAACACACAGCTGTAACAGGAGCTGTGAATGACTCTATTAAGGCCATTGCCTCAATTGCCGAGAAGTATTTTGGCTCCACTGGGCTAGCTGGCCTACAGGACAAGAAGGTTGGGTCTCTTCCCTATCCTTCTATGTTTCCACTGCCTTTCTTCCCAGCGTTCTCCCCTCCGGTTTACCCCTTCCCAGACAGAGACCTCAGAACTGCAGGCCTGAAGGGGGAGCCACAATCACCTGCAGATGACTGCAAGAAGGCCCAAGGGAAGTCTTCATCCGAGTCCCCATTTGACCTCACCACCAAGCGAAAGGAGGAAAAGTTAGCATCCTTTGCATCTTCCAAACCAGAAATGGCCCAATCTATGGGTCAGGATCAGCCACTAGATTTGAGCCTTGGGGCCAGGGGCCGTGGGCGTAATCCAAGAGAGGAGGAGACGAAAAAGAATCCAAATTACGAAGAGGAGAAAGGAGTGGTGGAGATCCCAAAAGCAGACACTTCCTTACAACATGCTAGGCCCACCCCTTTCTTCATGGACCCCATCTATAGGTATTGTTATTACCAGTAACTCTCTAAGCCTTTATTTGGTTAAATAACAGTATTTAAAAAATGTAATTACTTCTATATGCTGCAAATGTGCATACAGATTTGCAAAGTTTGTCAGTTATTTTGTAAAACTGAATATAATCTCACTGATAACCACTAAGAGCTAATAGAAATCTACTATTAGCAGGGTTGAGAAGAGGAGAATGAGCGATCCGTTTGAGACTCTGAAAGACAAGTACATGCGACCCGCTCCGGGCTTCCTTTTCCATCCACAGGTAGGTTTAAACTATGGCTTTCATAGGAATTGGGGAAATTTGGGAAAGGATGCATACCGGGTACAACATAAAGGATTAAATATTGCATTCTTACGAGTTCAGCAGCTCTTTACTCTTTTAGTTATTTAAGTTGATGATTTAGATGCCTATACTGCCCTAATTTATAAGGGTACGAGTTTCATCACAGCTGTCATGGGTCTTGCCATCAAACAATGGCACAATTCAAGCTTACAAGTCCACTCTTGGCCTCCTATGTACACAGCAGTGACAGCAACATGTAATTTAACCAACCAGTGCATATTATGATTCTTTCTACAAAGAGCTTTTATCCTTAATGGTTATCACAGACTGACCAGACTGGATTAATGAGGATTAGCATGTGACTCTAGTTTTACCCAAGCTACTGCCTGTTAAGCCCGCTGCTGGCTCCCCGAAACAGATGTGTTTCGGAAAGAAAGGCCACTTTGTGACACATCTTCCTATAATATGTCTTTGATTACAATATAAAAAAAATGATATGCTCTTAAAGCAACGGTTTCTGCCCCTGGGTTTTCTGTGCCAGTATTTCCAGCGTGAGGCTCCATTTAACGGGTATGTGTCCATGCGTGCACACGGGTCTGTGTGTATGCATGTCGATGACATGTTGCATTGACGTTCATTTGTTCAATCTTCCCCCGCGGGTGAGAACGGTCTGCTGGAAAGTGAAAACACCACTTTCTCAGGCACATGATTTTTTTTCTCTCTTTTCTGGCTGTTTCAGGCCTGGTTTTTACAGGCTGTTTCATTTGTCTGATTTATGTCCCCTGTCCAGACTGCTGCATGGGTCCAGCCTGCAGCAGCCACATGGCCGTCCCACATGCCTTAATGAGGTGTCCTATCAGTAGAAACACTAACTGAGTGCTTAGGCCATCTTTATGACTTTATGATGTCTGGACACACAAATCATTCCCGCAAATACCAGACCAGGGTAGGTCTCAGCCAGACCAGGCGATGGGCTGTTCTACGTACTTTTGAGGAGGTTTGTTTTCAGTCACCTGAGTCACTCTTGAGCAATATATTAAAAGAGAGCTTGCAAAGCTGAGGGGGCTGGAAGTTCTTTCAACCTTTAGTGATTCAGCTTTTTATTTCCTGGCAGGAAATTTTACTGCTAGCCAATACTGGCTTAGATTACATACTGGAATTGAATTTGTAGCCTTCTATAATGAGCTTATTGAACACCAGGAAGTGTTGGAAACTATAAGAGCCTCATATAATTCCAGCGCCATAACTCCGTAGATAGGCAGCTCATTGCTCATTCAAAGTTAATTGCACCAAGGCCCATCATCCCTTCTGTACCCATGTGTGTCCAATCAAAAGCTGTTGATTCATGCGCCACTTTCTGGTTCTGACTGCTTTCTCTTTTCCTTCTCTTCCGCCCCTCAGTTTCATTTGCCAGATCAGAGAACTTGGGTAAGTTCCTCTCAAACATACAGTTTTGCCATGTGTCCGTACGTCAAGCAAACAAACCCTATCCCACAATTAATGCACGAGCTGCGAAACAGTTTCCAACTGACATCACCCAGCATTCGCATGGCTTTGGCCTGTCACACTCACACACTGACTCGACTGCTCAGAGACAATAAAAAGAAATTTCATATCAGTGTTTATAATGTTTAACATACTATGGTATGTGTATCCAAGCCTTTTTGATTTGTTTACATCTTTCGATCTTGATGTATCTTTACTTCTAACATGAAAGTGTTTCAGTGGGGATTTCCAACTGAGCTACACCCTTTCCATGCACCAGCCCTGAATATATGTTTGCTTATTTGGAGAATGAAGCAGACCTCTTGCAAATGGGCATGGGGGGAGGGGGGATGAGTGGAACGTGGGGTGGTGAGTGGTCTTTAGGGGTGCTGCTTTACATCACCAAGAGGGTAACAGTCTCTTTGGGACACTGGCGGGGGGAGCGGGAGGTTAGTTCCTCCCTCTAAACATCTGGTTCCCGATAAAGATCAACAAATGAGAATGCATCTCGCTAATTAGGGCCCTAACAGCATCACTGACATCTGAAGATAGCCAATCAACTGCTGGTCCCAGAGTGGTGCTACAGAAACAAGCAAGTTTACAGATGCATACACACTGCCCAGAGGGAGGGATAGGGGGGTTTTAGTAGGGGTGTGTGTCTGTATGTGTGTGTGTGTGGTTGAATGTACATGCGGGTAGATCAAAATGTCGAACATTTCGCACGCAATATTTCCAAGTGAGCCTGACTCGACATCCATAAAATCATTTCAGTGTTTGAAGTGTAACATGGAGCTGACTGATGGTCACTTGTCTATTGGACTGGACGTGTGAGTCATTTGCCGTGTCCCCGCACACAAGTTATTTGGCAAGGAAAATCTCCTTTTTGGAGCATTTAGTGAAAAAATTTTTAAATTGCAGCAACGGATTTAAAGAACAGTTGTGATGAGTTTTTTTTTTTATCATGTCAAGTAGTCAGTATGCAAAGAAAATATACCCCGCCATGTATATTTTTTCATATAAAAAGAGACGAGTCTTAACAGAGAGCAGCCGCATGAGTAGACTGAGGTGGGATCAGAATTCCCCAGTAGATGGAGCCAAGATGGAGTAGCTTTCAGCTCTAAAAATGTCTTATCGAACAGGTTCGATACTGCCGACAGCTTTAGGGGCCCTAATGTTCCCAGGAGTTATGGCTTCTCATTGAGCAGTGCAGACAAACTGAGCATTCATTCCAGTTTCTGAAAAGAGCCCAATGAAATACATTCAAAAGAAATATGAAAGCATTTCACCTCCCTCTTGCCTATCTTTCAGCCCGTCCCCCCCTTCTTTTCTCACTTCCTCGCCTTCTCTTTCTCTCTTCTCTCCCACTTGGTCTCTCTTTTGCCTTTGATTCATGGCGTGTAGCACTGGCATATTCATAATCAAACAGACCTGACACTCCACATCCTCCCTCAGTGGGAACGCCGACGGCTGCGGCAGGAACTTTACACTCGGCCGTCACTCCTAATCAGCCACTCCCAACACCCGACTCCACCGCCATCCATCAGCCATCAGTCCTTCTCTCTCCGGACTCTGTTTTGCCTTTTCTTACTTTCTTGTTTGCACGCTTTTTTTCCTCCCTCTTTGTCTCTCTTTCTTCCATTCCCCCTCCCCACCCCCCCTCCTCTATCATCTAGTCCTTCATCATGCTTCTTCTCCAATTCTCGTGCTCTGTTTCTTTTCCCTCAGTCTCCTCGATCTTGGCGTGAAGCCTGAGAGTGACAGGGGGTGAAAGCAGGAGATGGAATGTCAAAGTCGGAGCAGGGCTCTGGTGGAGGACCCGAATCACCATTGATTTGTTGCCTTATTGAAATAAGAAAGAGAAACAGGCTGAAAATTCAATACAGGCAAAATAATGCAAATGTGTGAGTCTGCTAAAAAAAAGAAAACTTTGTAAGGGTGCGTGTGCGTGTGTGTGTGTGTGTGTGTGTGTGTGTGTGTGTGTGTGTGTGTGTGTGTGTGTGTGTGTGTGTGTGTGTGTGTGTGTGTGTGTGTGTGTGTGTGTGTGTGTGTGTGTGTGAGATGGCCTGTCAAGCCCTGCGGCCTACTGAGACCCCTGCCCCTCCCTCTCCTCCTCCCTCTAGTTCTCCCTTCACTCCCCCTCCAGCCCCCCGCTCCTCCCCCATCCCGCCCCTCTCAGCACAGCGATATCATTATTACCCGTGTCTGGCCCTTGATCAGTAATGTCAACATCTTTCATATTGACGAATGTGCTGTCTGCCCGCATTGTGCACAGAATGGTTTACAGCCCGGCAGTGGACATGAATCACTCCTCTGCCACACACACACACAAACACGCACACACAGACAGATACACACTAAGCATGTGCAATCACATGCAGCGGACATGCCTGTAAGCACACACATTTTGCACACACACAAATACATTACAGGAACATTCCTCACTCTCTCACACAAATATATTTTCCGTTTTTTACACACACTGAAGGTAGTTAATCAACTACGACCACCATGCAGCTCATAGTTTCTCATTCATATACATACATGAGCGCACATACACACACGGATATCTCCCCGGAGAGTATCCGATGAAAGTAAAGGTTCAGCTTCATTAGCAGATTGGCTGCAGTCCTCCTATGTGCGTGTGCGTGTGTGTTTATCTGCCTACTGTACATGCATGTTTGGAACAGAACAAGCAATGGCTTAATTTAACATTCACAGCTGCACACCTGCTCGCCACTAGCCATGAATGGAAGCGAACTGGTTTTCATTTTTCGGCAAAGTTATGAATCAGTTTCCAGTGTTCTTGTCATGCACATACAGGAATTTGACCTTGTGATGTATGAATTATTCATGAGCGTCATAATGAGAATTCTCCTTCGGCACTTGTTTGACTTTTCAACTGTTTTTTGCCTGTAAACAAGACTCATTACTCAAACGATGTGAGCGAATCTATATAGAAAGTAGGTTCTCTATTAAGAAAAATCCATAACTCTTTGGCTTATGTGCTTAATGTAAAGAATGTGGGATTTCTGTGCTTCTTAGGTATTGTCAGTTTTTGCATTTTTATTGCATCTGGCAATCAGAAACCAAAACACGCTGAATGTGTTGTCTCAAAATCTTGTTTATGAAAAGTCAGATTTCATTTCTTCTTAGCTGACATGGCCCCTCACTCTGTCCTTCCTTTTTCCTATCTCTTCAGATGACTGCAATCGAGAACATGGCAGAGAAGCTGGAAACGTTTGGCTCCTTGAAGCCAGAGCCTGGTGACCTGCTGCGCTCGGTTCCCTCCATGTTTGACTTCAGAGCTCCGCCCTCGGCGCTTCCCGACACGCTACTGCGCAAGGGAAAGGAGCGCTACACATGCAGGTAACTAAAGCCCCTAGTTTGGCTTGTATTTTTCACTTTTAAGTCAGTCATAAATTATTTTTTTAATAGTTTTTAGTAGTCTCTGCAGTTTTTCTTTCTTTTTCCTTTCTCAGAATATTTTCTTGTAAATCTTGTCTGAGACTGGTGTGCGTTTTGTGGGTAGTTTTTTGTTTTTATATGGTTGTGTTTTAGTGAGAACACATTGCAGTAAGAATTCCTGTTCTTTTTTTTGGAAGCACTTAAAAATTGCAAAATGTTATGTACTCCTTTATAGATACTGTGGAAAAATATTCCCTCGCTCTGCCAATCTGACACGCCACCTGAGGACTCACACAGGAGAGCAACCGTATAGGTAAGAGAATTTTTTACGGGCTCCTCGTGTTTTTTTACTTTGCGATTGTATCCCTCAACCTATCCTTACTTAGCTCTAAAAGTCTGCAGGCACATAATTGTCCAGTCAAAAATCCGATTTGCACCATAGCCGATTAACACCCCATGAAAAAGAGCTGCTTTTCTCCCCTCACACATATGAGTGAAAGCAGGGCACACACTTTCACACAGTGTACTCTGAGCCACACATACAGACAGCACAACTCATTTGTTAACAGCATGTGGATGTTTTCCCAGGGATTTCTTGTCTACAGTTAGAACAGAGTTTATGTGTGTTTTCTTATGCCATTAAAGGCCTGGAATAATTATACTACTGCTAAACAATTTGCCTGATGAAAAATGGCGTCCATCGCCTGGGTGAAAGGGGAGGTTTGGGGGGATTTGGGTTGTTGAGGAGCACAGGCAGATGTCCACACCCAGCAGCTGTGGTCACAGAGTGATCTACAACAACTTTGGCTACTCCAAATAGAGGCTTACATCCCATCTAAACAGTTATTCCCATCTTATTCCAGAAATCGTGGTTAAAAAAATAGTAATTTTAGCTCTTAGTGATTATTTTTTTTCCATTTTGGAAGCTTTGTTTAAAGGCTCCCCTTTCTGCTCCTATCAGCCCAGCAGATTTTTCCAGGTGCATCTGAAGTACTAGTTACAATACAACAGTGGTCCAGTACCCATGCAAAAATTAATTCTGAAGACTTACTACATTTGGATGCCTCGGTGCTTGGCTTTGTAGTTACTAAGGTAGAGGAATTTTGGCCCAAAGTTCGGAAGGGGCCTGCTGACCACAGGGGAGAGAGAAAGACAGATGCAGGCCTCTACTGCCCCAGCCTGATAGCCTGCACTCTACATGCTGGCATGCCATTAAAGATCACCGCCTTTTATTGTAATTTTTTGTGGAGATAACCGGGGGGGAGGGTTCCTGAGGGACAGCCAATCGAGCGAGCTAATTCCACAAGAAGAAAAGATGTAATCTTCTCGTATAATTTTGCATGAAGAAACTTGGCAGGAGCTCCTAATTTTTGCAGGGCTCAAACCAAATCTGTTGCGTGCTTATTTTGTGAGAGAAGAATGCAATTTTATTGCGCTGGCTGGAGATAAGAGGCAGAGCTGTTTCACCTTAAACAAGCTCCTCCATCATGTCTGGGACTGTGGGACTGCTGGGACTGTCTGTAAGAGCATGTGTGTGTGTGTGTGTGTGTGTGTGTGTGTGTGTGTGTGTGTGTGTGTGTGTGTGTGTGTGTGTGTGTGTGTGTGTGTGTGTGTGGTGTCCTACATTATGTATCCCATTATGTTTCCCCACATAACAAACCGCAGGTTCCTGATTCATTATGCAGTACAGTTGTATTTATGACCAGCGGCATGTGCGTTTTGATGTTTTCTTCATTTAATTACTGAGCTAAACGAAAGGCATTTACTTTCTTTCTGCAGGTGTAAGTACTGTGACCGCTCCTTCAGCATCTCCTCCAACCTACAGCGTCACATTCGCAACATCCACAACAAGGAGAAGCCGTTTAAGTGCCACCTGTGCGACCGCTGCTTCGGTCAGCAGACAAACCTGGATCGCCACCTCAAAAAGCACGAGAACGGCAATCTGTCAGGTGTGTAGCAAGTTTTGTAGACCGTGGACATATATATATATATATATATATATATATATATATATATATATATATATATATATATATATATATATATATATATATATATATATACATATATATATATATATATATATATATATATATTGTAATAAGATACAATAATCAAGCTACTTTTTCTTTTTTTTTCTTTCCGTATTATCAGAGAAAATGAGAGCAGCATTTGCTGACTCCTTAGATTCATCAATCATTCCACTGCATAGCATAAAACAAAATATACTCCTGATCGAGAGAATCTCAGAGGCTGAGAAATTAAATTATATAAATCTGTCATCGACCTCTGCAACAACAGCACAAAATATTTTTGAATGAGCTGCTTTCATCAGCAGCACAGCTCACAGCTTATGGGTTGAGAGGTTGCATCACTCTGACTCTGAATCAGCAGAACGAGCAGTGACACCTGGCCAGGAGCCGACAGCAGCGGGCCTAAGAGGAGGTCGCCACTTAATCAGACACAATGAGCAATCCATCAAATGCAAATCAATTATCTGTCAAGCTTTCCTTTTTTCGGCATTAAATAATATATTCCCCCCACTCAACACAAAACACAAACACTATGGACTAATAATACTTTGTAGAAAAATTCTTTCTCCACAGTTTATATAATAAAACCATAGCGTCTTAAGCTTTCGGCTTTTGTATCATTACTAGCATTCAGTGGGGCCAAGTATACTCAGATGTCACATAAATTTATTTTAAACTGTCTTAAGGTCTCAAAAAATGACAAATAGAGTGAAGAATCCATATCCATTCATACAAGCACTTTCTTTTTCTATACAAAGTGCGACTTGGGGTTCAGTAACTTGCCCATGGATACAGCCAGGGATCAAACCCCCATCCTTCTAAAGCACGATTCATATTTTCCTCAGTGATGTAATGTAGATACAGATACAGATGTCACACTGACAGACTGACAAACAAAACATGTCTTTTACGGCATACTTTCATCCTTAAAACAGTTTGGGGGCATCAAGTTCAAACACATGATGACTGGAATGTATTTTCTTTCTATAGGAACTGCAATGTCGTCCCCACAGTCTGAACTGGACAGCAGCAGCGCCATACTGGATGACAAAGAGGACTCTTATTTCAACGAAATAAGAAATTTTATCAGCAACACAAGCCAGAACCAGACATCACCGGACCCCTCAGAGGAAGGGTGAGAGCAGCTTTATGTGGTGATACGTGCCCGTCTTTCCTCCTATTTCTACTTCTACAAGGAGATGGTTGTTTCTTGGCCTGGAGGGCCCGAGCTGATTCAAAAATAAATAATTAAAAGATAGGGAAAAAACAGATGAAGGGTGATCTTTTGAAAGGATACTGGTAAATCTACATTAGATTGAATATGTATTAACTGTGTGGGATTTACACACACACACAAAATATATATACAATAATGTGTCGACCACTATCCACCATTTTTAGACATCCAATTTCATACCTTCCAGCCAGGCTTTGTTAATAACAATCGCATCATTTTGGGGGGTCTGGAGTAAAGAACTCTTATCTGCGATGACATTTAAGATTTGGAAAAGTGAGCAAGCTCTTTAAATCAATTGCCTCTTGACCACATGTAGGAAAAGATATCAATATACATGCAACTTCATCTGGGCTTTATGCAAACAAATTCTTGTAGCTGTGATCAGATCGGATAACAGTTGCGAGGTCTACTCTGGTCCCTGAGTTTGTTTTCACGCGCCCCATGTTGGTTTGATCACTGGAGGCCCGATAGAGATCTCGCAGACTAGCTCGTGATTGAGCAGAAGGCCTGTGAGAGCAGGGCCAAGCGGTAGAGTGTCAGAGGGACGGGAGGCAGGAGGGGTAGTGCAGCAGTTAGAGGACCACATCTGGAACCAACATGTCTGCCTACAGGAAGAGGGTAGAGGGGGTGGGGTCAAAGGGTCGGCTTGTGTTTCCTTTCAAAGTGCTGCACTGCTGACTGCTTCTGATAGATACTTTATCCCCAGCAAATTACCACGTTTGAAAGCGTAATTAGCGAATCTGTTTTCTTAATCACAGAGTTCTCACTCCCTCTTTTGGAGCTAGTTCTTCCTTGCAGCCCTGAATACCACCTGAACTCTCCACTCTGACGAGAACACTGCTGACGGTACAACATTATCAGTTCCTGAAATCTGAGACAAAACGACGCAAATCCTTTTTGTGCTAAAATCGAATACGGTGTAATTACCTCTCTCCCCCTCTCAAACGTATCCCTTTTAAATCCAGTGCGGCTATGCTGTTTATAAGCATTCTATAATTATGTGGTGTTGTGCTTGATGTGTTGTGTTTCCTATGAATCTCCTTCTCCCCCGTTCAATTTTCAGTCCCCTTCTCTGAATCCTTTGTGCAAGAAATGGCATATTTGGGAGCTGACGAAAGATGTCCCAGAGTGTAATTAGTGAATCAGTCTTAATGTGGTTCCAGATGATTTACCAAATGGCGGTTTCCTGTGGCACTGAAACAGAGGGACAGATTAAGACTCAGGCAGTTTGGATAGCTGGCCTTTTCCCTCTCCACAGGGATAGAGGAATGGGCTGGTTGGCAGCGCTCTCATAACTCTCCCACCAAATGGGGCTGTCAGCTAAATATTTTGCCTATTAGATGAATACGAGATAGTAGGGAAAATAAACAAGGAGAGAGGCAGAGCACTCCATTTAAGTGCTGCAATGATCAACCCAGTGCTGCTGTGCCCAAAGGGGCCTCAAAGCCTTGATGACAAATGGGATTCCGGCTCTGCTCAATTCCAGCTGCCCTGTTCTGCCTCACATCAGTTCATCTACAAACACTGGAAGAATTCCTTAATCACACTGCATATTTTCTCAAAAACAGAATGAGTATATGAATAACATAATTCAGCCAACAGGGTGGATGTTTCATTTCTTCAACCTTAAATGCCTACTGCGTTGAACAAGCCTCATGAACTAATGTTCCTGATCTGCAGGCTAAATGGCGGTCCATTTGAAGAAGAAAAGCCACTGATGGCCAGCCATAGGTCACATGACCTGGAAGATGAGGAAGCGGAAGAGTTAGGTGCGGATGAAGAAGAAGGGGAGGAGCCTAGCAACACCCCTGAAAAATCAGAAAGCAAGGTGCTCCAAAGCGACCTCGATGATCCCATCATACAAGACGAAATGGACTTGAGTGAGCCAAATGACTTGAATCTCAGCTGTAAAACTTCTCCAAGGAGGTAATTTGACACAAGGTTGCAGCTCCAAAACAAAATGCATCACTTTAAATACGATGCTTTGAAGTCAAAAGTATCCTGGCAGCTTTTAACTGATGTTTGCCATGACTTTCAGGTATAAAGACGAGGAGGAGCAGAGCAGCTACTCAGCCTTGGATCACATCCATCGCTTTACTGAAATGCGCAAGCTGGACGAGAGCGAACTGAGTGACGGAGATGGGGATGGGGATGAGGAGGACGGCTCATTTGGTTCCCCATCTCTGACTGAGGCAGTCAAACAGCCGCTCTTTAGGAAATCAAAGTCTCAGGTAGATAAAGATGCGCGCGCGCGCACACACACACACACACACACACGCTTAGATACAGACAATCCATATACACGATTATCTGCAGTGTACTTAATGTTTTTTATGTAAATAATATAGTAAATTGTAATCCACCCCTTACTCCTTCAGGCTTATGCCATGATGCTGTCCCTGGCTGAAAAGGACACTCTTCACCCAGCTACCCACACCCCAGCCACCATGTGGCACAGTCTGGCACGGGCTGCCGCTGAATCCAGTGCCATCCAATCCCTCAGCCATGTATGATGACACCTCTTTGCACCTACCTTTTCAGCTCTCAACCCGACCCTGATCCACCTATGGCACTGGCAGTCCACTGCAGGGGCTATTTTGCAGGAATCCCTGATTGTCCACAGAGTGACTGCTGAGCAGGAACCACAGCCCACCCGACTGCTGAGTGAGGCGCCTTACCCCCAAAACACGGCAACTGCCCATGCAAAATCCATCCCAACCCAAGCCCCCCCCCCAAAAAAAATATTCCTCCAGCAGATAGAGAGCAAAAATGTCCCTCTGAGACCCTAAAATTGATTTGTTACATTGACACCAACCAGGATGTGGTGAAAATAATAATGCTAAAGTAATAATAGCCGTATTTATTCTTCTGAATTTCTATGTTTTGCACAGCAAAGGCAGCTGAAAGTTGTGGGAAGTGGATATGCTGATTTGTCGTCACTCGACTGAATTTTCTGGCCGGCACATACAAAGCAAGAAGAACATTTTACACCGAGAGTAACGCTGGTGGCGTCTAAGACAGCTGGTTTCAGCCTAGCATGTTTCACAGTGTGTAAAGCATAAGAACCAGAACGAGAATTCCCTTTGAACCCCCGGAGAGATCAACAGGTGTTTCCCATGAATACATGATGATAAAACATTAAAAGGTCGGGCGAGCAACCTCGGTTCAGATGAAAATCGTTCCATGTAAGGATAGCACTGGCGGTGCTTTAATATCACTGAACTGAAGTACAAACATAAGATAGCGATTGCTCAACTAAAATCAGGCCAGTCTCCCATCTGCATCTTTCATAGCTGTGTGTGTCTGCACAATCATAGCACTGTACACAAGTGTCTGACAACTGTTGTCCACTGCACTCCATCCTGCCCACCTGCGATGTCTGTGAAAGGATATAAATAGATTGTCTGTTTAGTGGAAGAGAAGAAAACACGACGATTTTTTTGCTTTGTTTTGTTTTGTTTAATTTACTGAAATAAGTATCCAGTGCTGAAGTTAACTGTTGTTCTGTCGAGGACATAAGTCTTTTTCAAAGCCCTTGAATCCATCCTAGTCCACCAACAATACCACTAAATAGCCCGAATGCTAGTTGTTAGCTACTCCATGCTTGTGTGTCTTTCATTTTTAGACAATCACGATTTTGTTTTTCATTTTGGTTTCTGTTGGTGTTGTTGTTGTTATTTGCTGTTGTATTTTGAGAATTGTATTTATTTCTTGGCAAACTGTAGTTTGTTTACTGAATAGCACTGCTCTTAGCCCGGGCAAGGGGGAGATTCCCAGCCGGGCCAATCCCACAGTTCAATGGGGTTTGTAGATTACATTTGAGGGCCGGATAGTATTAAAACATACAATTCACTCCTTATTCTACTAATGAAATCAGTTGATGAATAGATATTACTTAGGGGTTTTTTCTATGACAATTTATTGATTCAAATGTAAAAAAAAAAAAAAAAAAAAAAAGAAAAGAAAAAAAAGAAAAACAGTATAAGGAATTAATAATAAAAAAGCCAGGTATAATTTCTTCATAAGCGCATGATTGGTCTGATAAGATCTGTATCTGACATTTTCTACGGTTGTCTGCAAGCTTGTGTGATGTTCGGTTCATGTTAATCCCTTGTGCCAAACTTATGATAAATAACAGATTAATTTCATTTATTTTCCCGTTTTGAGGGACCAGATTTTTCTTTTCTTTTTTTTGGTTTGTTTATTTGTTTTTTGTCGTTGTTTTTGTTTATAATCGACTTTAAAAAGTAATCAGCAAGTTGAGGTACTTTGTTTTAATGCTTTCTACAATGTAACTGTTATGCATTTCAATTCAATACTGTGGGAGGAACAACTAAGAAATAAAGGACTACAATGTGGATTGACATGTTTTCGTTTCTCTCTTTATTACTCCAGAAAATAATTTTACTCGCTCTTTGTCCGTCCATCTCCCTCGCGCCTCCTCGCTCCATACAGTCCTTCTGGCTGCCCATCATTTTGACCCACGTCAAAATTTATACTAAGAGACAAGAGTCAGAACACCACCTGGCGCTTTCTTCTGGCGCTCCCATGGCCTCCAAGAGCGAGGGAGAGTCTGAACTCTGGTCCTCTTTATTTTTTTTTGAGGCCTTGGCTCACAAAGTGACGGAGATGCAGAGAAAAGGCTGGAGAGGGCTTGAATGTGGTAGTGGGAGCGGAGGCAGGAATGTGTCCTCTCTATTTGTGTCCGTTTGTGGGGCATGATGGATGAGGTGGGTAGATGTGATGACCTGGCTCATCGCTCAAACACTCAATAAGAGTCCCATCCTGCAGCAGGCCTCCCCATCCGGCACCCCCCTGCCCCCGTCACTGCTTGCTGCCAGCCAACGTGGGCGGACATTGTGGCTGGGAGGGTTGGAGGTTTAGTGGCCCCATTGTCCAGCGAGTAGCTCAAGTGGGGGGTTGGAGAATTGGGCATGACAGTGAAGATGGCTGGCGCTGACACTCTACATTTACAGTGCTCTTGGCACCCTAATGGATGGGTTGTTTTTCTAAGGCCCATCGTCAGCCCTCTGGGCTCTGTGGGGTGCCCAACTTTGACGAGGTCATAGTGGGTCACGCTGCATTGATGAGGTCAGTATGGGTCGTCCAGCTTTGATGAGGTCAGCGGTAGTGATCTTGCAAGCTAGGAACATAATGAAGTGACATGATATTGGTCTTGAGTATGGGTTGTGCCATCTGCACTATTGGGGACTCATTCAAGCTTATCTGACAACGGAAGTTTGTCAGCAACCAGAACACATTTGTATCTGCTGATCCAATTAAAAAAAAAGAAACTTTGAATCATTTGGAAACTGAAAAACTGACTGAGTCAGAAAATATGAATATTTACAGCTTTTTACTCACTTCTGCCAAAACCACCACCATAAGGTTAGTGAAAGTCAACCAAAGCAGTCAGGTTGTTGGCCTCAAAGCCAAAATAATGACCTGAATAAAACTATAAAGCTCTCTGGAGCTCACGGGGAACTTCAGAGCAGGATTTGAATTCTGTCTGCTTACACTTACAAAACATTTCTTTTACATTGTTCATAGTCACTGGTATCCTTTCTTAAAACAGCTTTTGTGTGCCCCCTTCACATCACCCTGGTGTTATATATGCTGCTGAAATGGCAGATATCGCATAAAAAAAAGCAATGTCTTAAGAGGCTTACTAATTAGTTACTAAGAGACTTACTAAGTGAATTAAAAATATATATGCATCAAGTTCAGAGATAATTCCAATCAATTTGCATGAGTTCAGAAAGGCAATGATGCACACTTCTGCAGGTGCAATAGAAGAAACTGCTAAACAACAGTTACACCTTGACTGCATCTGGCAACTAACTTTGCTGCAGCATTAAGCCACCAGAACCTCAGAGGTCTTGCCCCCGCTGCTATTCAAATTGCCCATGTAATTACATCACCTACATAAAAAGTTCCCCTAGACAAAAGTCCAAAGGCACTGGCTCTGGAAAGAGCACCAAAATATTATGAATGGACAGCACAGTGTATAGTTCCATTGTTCGTGGGCAGCGGAGTGACACAAGGGTGTGTTTGGCACTGGCGTGTGCACTGGTTTGATCAGTGTTGATTGGAACATGCCAGTGTCACCCATGTGTCCACTCACACTTAATCAACACACTGGGACGAGCCGCTGCCGTCATTAACCCACACCTTCTCATAAAGGGCTCAGTGTGTATCCGTGTGTGGCTGGCAAGGCCCTGGATGAATGTGTGTGTAAGTGTGTGTTTAAACAGCTAAGGAAGTGAGACAGAAGAGTGTACATTAGTCACTGCAATCAGTTTTAGTTAAATGTGAGAAGTGTGTGTGTTTCTGTTTCGCAGGGTTTAGGCCCTTAAGGTGCTGTGCCACTACAGTGTGTGTGTAGTCTGGTGGGCACTCTGTGGGCAGTGCTTCGTGGGGCTCAGAGCCACTCAGCTAATGGGGCATCTGGCACAGCCTCAGAATCCATCAGGCCTCATTACAGCTCCTGTTCAGCCACCGTCCTCTTTTTACCCCCTCCTATCTTCCCCTCCTTCTTTCGCTCCTCACCCTCAACCCTTTTTTCCTTTCCTTTTCCACCCGTCCATGCAGTCAGCCCCGTGTGGTGTGCAGTTGCCCTGCTCCGCTTGCTGGAACATACATCACACCCTCAGAGAGAGAGAGAGCGAGAGAGAGAGACCATCACAGCTGGCAGCTCTCACATTGATTGACTTGGCACCCATGCTGACTCAGACACCAAGGGAAACATTGCAGAGAAGGAGACACGGAGGGGTGTGGGAGTGTATCCTTCAGGGAGGAATGAGGGGCTGGTATGGAGGGACACTAAAGCTAACAGCTGGCCAAAGTGTGTTTCTGAGTGTGTGCTTGTGTGTGTGTTTGAGTGGGGAGACACCGCAAACCACCTCATCAACTTTCTGTTGTGTTTACAGTTACGGTAGCGTGTCCTCTGTCTATGTCCCATGTGTGTACAGGACAACCAAACCAATTCCTCACTACTTGTTCTTCTTCTTCTCTCTTGGAAAGCAGCAGAGTTTAAGGTTGTGGTTTCATTACGCTGTTCGTTTTTCTCCCTGGAGGCTACGGGCCATTAGTGTTATTGATGGACACTCAGTAGAGTCCCGAGGAACAGACCGAGACAAAGCAGCCCAGCCGTGCACATGGTTTTAATATGACGAGTCTAATCAGGATAGGCGTGGTGGCAGAACCACTTGAGGCCTGCTATTGAAATCATCTCCTCTCTTGCTCATGGATTAGATTAGAGGCTATCGGCTCCATTGTTGAAGGACTGGGCATGCATATTTTGGTTTTGGTACTTCTGGAGTCACTTAAACATAAAATGTTTGTAGCACAAAATTGACAATATATGCTGACATTAATTAGCATATAGCATGATCCATTCATTTATGTGCACTCACTTGAATTAGAGTTCTGTCAAAGTTCTTTTCTGTGCTGAGCTCCCCCCAGTGGTGGAAGTAGCAATGTACACCTACCTGCAAAATTTGGGTTTAAAAACTCTCCCAGTTAATTAAATAAACTTCAAATATAGTGAGTGTCTAGTTAGAGCAAGTGATAACATAAATTCTGCTGAAAGACAAAAAAAAAAAAAAAAAAAAAAAAGTCATCCTTTCTTCAGGCTTGTAGTCAAACAAGCCGACATATCTAAACCAAAGATACGCTCTTTACACCACGCGCCCCCAGAGTGTGGGAGAGTTTCTTGATACAAATCTTTTTTACATCCCCGACATTTAAGATTTATTTTTTCAGGCAGCAACCAAACAAATGGTGCAGGACGTGTTGAAATGATTTCCCCTTCACTCTTTTATCTGAGCAGACAGCTTTGTCAGCTGGAGTTCAAAACACTGTGGCCTTCTGGGAGATCTGGTTCAATGCAGAGGGGCAGAAATTATCTCTGGGACGTGAAGCTATGGCAGCAAAGTGATAGAATCTCTCTTGCAAAGAGTGGCGTATGCTTAATTACAGCGAAAAAGTACCCGTGATGCGATCTTACCTTTTACGGACTATTTCATCGACAGTTTCCTCCAGCCCTCTCTTTTTCTCGCTCCCTGATAAGCCAGCATGCGTGCAACAGCGGGGCATTTTGTGTTCGCTCATAAAGTCTTTCTGCACAAAGGCCATGCTTTATTCATTTACTTGCAATGGAACAAAAGTGTCCTTTGAAATTCTGGCACTCTCAAAAAGCTTTTCATATCTCAAATCATGCAAAAGAAAACCAAAACAAAAAAACAAGGACGCTGAAACATACTGTATCAATGCAATATCAGTCCTAGAAGAGCCAAGCCTCTGCACAACAGCGTGGTAAGCATCTCTTGTTTGTAGCCATTTAGATTAGATATTTTGCCATGCCAGTCCCTCATTTACGGTGCTGCTCGCCCAGCGTGCTGCTGTGGAGAGGCTGATACGGTGGTGCAGCGGCCACCCAGAGCTCGGTGGATGGATGGCCTCTCTGGGCGTGTTTGACTGGAAACAGGTGTGTGTCATCTGAAGATGAAGGCCCAGCCGATAAACATTATTGGAGAACATCTGCTGCTTGTCACAACATGGGGCGAGCAGGAGCGTGCCGCCATCCATCAGCCTCACTGGAGAGTGAGTGTTTAGGGTGGGGTGGGGGGAGAGTCCCCTGGTACTGAGCTCACTCACCTATCACTCAACCCAGGACGTCCTGGATATAGGGTGCATGCATGGTCCAGGCACCTGCCCGCCAGTGCCGGACCACAGCCGCCGTTGGCCAACGGGAGAGAAAACGCTCCAGTGGACATGAAAAATGCCTCAGGGAGAGTGCACTTGCTCTCTGATGCTGACACACACACACACACACACACACACACACACACCTTAACACTCAGCTCAGGTAACCCACCGTTTACTATCAGGAAGGCAGGCATGGCCTTAATGCTTGACCCTGCCCAGGCTGATGATGAGAGATGTCTGGTAGTTGC